TTAACTTATCATAATCTCTTCAAGGTCCATCCATCCACAAATGGTAAAGTCTCATCTTTTATTTATAGCTGAGTAGTGTTCCATTCTGTATATATACCACATATTCATTGTCCACTCATCTGTCATTGGGTACTTATGTTGTTTATATTACTTGGTTATTGTAAATAGTGCTGCTTTGAACATAGCAGTGCATTTATTCCTTTAAATAAGTGTTTATATGCTTGAGATAGATATATAGGAGTGGAATTGTTGCATCATGTGGTGGAGCAACCCTTAGTATTTTGTAGCTGTACTTTTTTTCATAGGATCTAGTCTCTACATATACAAAACGGTGTACAGCATCCTTTTCCTCCATGCCATCACAAAGCTTGTTTCTGGTCTTTTCCATATGGGGAGAGATGGGGAGAGGTGTGAGTTGGTATCTCATTGTGGTTTGGATTTGCATTTCCCTGTGGATAAGTGATGATGAACAATTTTTCATGTATCTGTTGGCCATATGAATGTCTTCTTTGGAAAAGTGCTTATTTAGCTCTTTGCCCCTCCTTTTTTTTTTTTTTTTTTTGATTAGGCTATTTTATTTGAGTTGTAAGAATTATTTGTAGATGATCTTGGGTAATAGCCCCATGTTGGATGTATGATGCACAAATAAATTTTTTACTTTCATAGAGTGTCTGATAGTTTCTTTTGCTGTGCAAAAGATTGTTTTGAGGGAGGGGGAGGTGGCATTTTTTTTCAAGATTTATTTATTTATTTATTTATTTATTTATTTATTTATTTATTTATTTATTTATACAATCACTGGGTATAGTCAGAAGCATGGGAGGGTGAGAGAATTCACCAGAGCCAGAGTGGGGAACAGAACAGGCAGACGATGAAGCACACTGCTGAGGGGAGCAGCAGGCATGGCAGGAGAGGTCTGTCGCGCCATGTGGGACCCTCGCCAGCAGCTGGGGATCAAACCGGCGTTGCAAAGGCTGTGGGCAGCTTTGCAACCCAGCGCTCAACCGCTGCGCCACCAGGGAGGCCCTTTTTTTCTTTTTTTAATTGAGGTATTATTGTTCTACAACATTGTTTGTGATTTAGGCACATAAGATCTTCCTGTGATATGATGTTAGCATATCACACCCACCACCAGAACACTCATAGTCTTCTGCCAGCAATTCCATTCCTAGGTATCAGCATGGAAATAGAAAAACACTAATTTGAAGGGAAATACACACTTCTTTGTTCATTGCAGCACTATTTACAATAGCCAATCTATGGAAACAACCTAAGTGCCCCATAGCAGAACAGGAAAATGTGGTGTATACATACACACACTCACATACACACACACACACACACACACAAGAAAACTTTATTAAAAATATAAACTCCTTGGCATGCAGACCTCTCCTGCCGTGCCCGCTGCTCCCCTCAGCAGTGCATTTCATCAGTCTGCCTGTTCTGTTCCCCGCTCTGGCTCTGGTAAATTCTCCCACCCTCCCGTGCTTCTGACTGTACCCAGTGCTTGTATAAATAAATTAATAAATCTTAAAAAAAATAACTCTTGCCATTTGTGACAACATGGATGCAACTGAAGAGAATTATGCTGAGTGGAATAAGTCAGGAAGAGATAGACAAATACTTGATGGTGTCACTTATATATGGGATATAGAGAAACAAAATAATCCAAAGGATCAGAAGTAGGGAAGAGAACAAATTGAGGAGGGAACACAATGGACTGTGGTGTGAAAGTTTTTATTTATTTTTTTTAAGATTTATTTATTTATACAAGCACTGGGTACAGTCAGAAGCGCAGGAGGGTGAGAAAATTCACCAGAGCCAGAGCGGGGAGCAGAGCAGGCAGAAGGACTGAAGTACACTGCTGAGGGGAGCAGCAGGTGGCAGGAGAGGTCTGCGCACCATGTGGGACCCTCCTCCGGTGGCCGGGGAGCAGCTGGGGATTGAACCAGCGCTGCAGATGCTGCGGGCAGCTTCACAACCCAGCTCTCAACTGCTGCACCACCAGGGAGGCCCTGAAAGTTTTTATTTTGATGTAGTCCCATTTTGTTTAATTTTGCTTTTATTTCCCTTAACATCGAATTTGAGTATGAAAGATAAAGGGATGCCAGTGACCTGGGGGGCTGTAATCACAATCACCAGTTGTCCCTCAATCGTGAGGCTTCATCAACCTTATTCTCAGCCCCCAACCATGAATTTTCTAATTCAAACAAAGAAGCATTTGTTAGCTTCAGCCAGAGTTGCAAAAATTCCTTGAGGGTAATAAAGTGTATAAGCCTGAAGAGATCACAAATAATAGCCCACAGAACTTAACATGTTAACAAAGAGTGGCATAAACTGAACAGCAAGACTCTTCGAAGAAACCAAAAGGAAAGAATCAAACATCTGAGTTCCAGAGCAACCCGCCATGCAGCCTCATATACCATCTTGTACCTAGCCAGTTGGTTTCAAACACCATCTTGCAAGTACTGAGAGAAAAGACACAGAAACTGCTTACTCCCACACAGGCATCGAACAACTGAACTGGTGATTAGAAGGGAACTGCATGCACCCCCCCACACACACACACACTGTCTCCACAAAGTCAAAGCCATTTCTAAGGGTCAGGAAAATAATCACATATCTGAAACAATGAGATACTCGAACACACTAGAGAAACAAAAACCACATTCTTGCTTATGGGTGTCAGTGCTTCCTTTCAGGGCTAGCTAACCACACCTGGCTTTTCCCCACATCAAAGAACCAAATATGTTAGTGCATGACAAAGGGGCGCTTGGGGACCCCAAGCTGTTAAGGGGTTCACATTCTAAAAGGAGTCTAGCCATCCACTACAAAATGGCAAATGAAGAATGCTCTTAGTGTGCTAGATTTTTACTATTAGAATTAGTGCCCATAGAAAAAGAAGAAAATAAAGGATCTCCCTAATGACAGTTTCCCAATAAACCTCCCCAAATTGCCTATCCACTTGGTGGGCAAATGTCCAGTCAAAGAGGGTTGGCCCAAAGCAGGGCCACTGAGGCACAACAGCTTGCCAGAATCCTAAGACACCTTCTAGTGGGAAACCAAAAGAAAGGGGCAGAATGGGCTGGGCAAGTCTGGAAGGAAAGGAAAAAAATCAGTACAAGACAACATAAAGGCTACCATTGTCAGTATCCCAAGTCTCTTACCCATGTCTCTTCCAAGTGTCTCCTTCCATGTTTCCCAAGACCCTAGTGTGAGTCCAAGTCCTTTTTAGCTTTCCCTGGCTGCTCATATCCACCATTCATTAGGTGGGGCAGGGAAATGAAACCTCCTCTTTTTAGAATACACTGTCACAGTACGGCCCCAAGTAAGTGGTTCTCTGGTTTATTTTTCTAAAGTGTTTTCCATATTACTTTCTTAGAATTATTACATATACATGTCTCTCACCCATGTCCCTTCCAGGCATCTCTTCTAAGTCTCTCAGTACATCTCCCTCCCACATGGCTACTCCTGTGTGTCCTTCTCCCTCCTTCATCCCAGTTCTATTTATTCATATACTTTACTCCTTCCCAGCTACCTCCTCCCATTCAGGAAGGCTAGTTCACGGCATGCTAGGGGTTGTAATCCAAGGCAATTGAATGTGAGTGGGGCTGGACAAAATAGCACCTATTTAATGCTTCTCCCACTTTCATGCAGATTTATTTAACACTTTAAATCAGTAAAAACTATGAAGATAGGCAGTTTCTAAATATCTATTCAGTAGCATGTGAATATGTGACTATAATATGTGAGTGACATGTGTATATATTTACGCAATATATTTATATATTAGTACATAATAGTATGCTTGTATATTGCAGATAATTGTAATGATATGTGAGGATGAAGTTAGAACACCATGTATATTTGAAGACTGAGATTATGATGCTCTATCTACAATCTGTGGAAATCAAAGGTTTGCTGGCACTCACCAGAACCTGAGAGAGGCATGAAAGAAATTCTTCCTCAAAGTCTCAGACAGCTTGCCAAAACTTTTGGACTTGATTTTAGGCTTTGGTTTCTCAGAACTATGAGAGAATAAATTTCTGTTGTTTCAAGCAACGCTGCTTGTGATAATTTGTTATGACAGACCTAGGAAAATAATACATTCATTTTATCCAATTTTCATGTCAAAAGAATAAAATTACTATGTTAGGCAGGAGATAGGGTCTAGTGAGTCTGAGGAAGCTCTGTGATACTGGACATTATCTCAGGCTGAAACCAACCACATCATTAAAAAGTAGGAAGTAGCATTTTGTCCACTGGAAATATTAGTTAAGATCACCCACCCACACTCTGATAGTGATTCTCCCTTTCTCTAAGAAGGAACCCCTTCCCAAATACATATTTTAGATAAAATAATGTTTTTAACACTAATAAAATTTCTAGGTCAACAAGATGGCTAGGCTAATTATACAGAATCCATCATGTCACAGCAAGAAATCACAGAAAAAGTGTGAATCTGTCAAAGATAAAATAAGTGGGTATGTTGGTTTTCCAGGGGAATAATGATGTATGTTGGAAGCGCTTCAAATTATTCACCTTTGTTTTTAAAAAGACTTTAATAGTAGTAGAGGAAGCATATGAATTTAGGAAAGAATAGAAGAACAATGCAGGAAATGAGGAAAAGGAAATTTTGTGGAAATGAAGCTGGACAGAACAAAGTGAGATGTATTTGAGAAAGTATTTTATTATTATTTGCTTTCTGCACTGCAATAATTGGTCTTCAGCTCTGTTTATAACATTATTATGTTATTTGTGAGATTAATTTTAGACTTTCATATTTCATTGATAATTTATTTTTAAGGTATAATTGTAAATTCTCTAAAATCCTTCAAGCGTTTGTTCCAAGATCACCTGTCAAATAGTGTATTGGCCATCTAAATTCTGTGACCTGACACCCCTCCCCACTCCCTGTACTTTGGCACTCCCTTATATTGTCTTAATCGCTTTCTGGAAGATTTTTTTAATTTACTTATTTATTATCTTTGTTTTAGTCTGCTCCTGCTACTCCCTGGAATGGAAGCTCCTTGAACTTAGGCTTGTTAGTCAATGGTGACTCTCAAGACTCTAAGGCAATGTCTGGTATGTAGTGCTGAATTGTTATGCATTTTTATAATGAATTAGTATATTTACTTTAAAATTGATAAGCTGCTGTGTCATTTTCAGGACTTATTTTATTCAATTAACTTATATTTTGTCTATGTCTGTGATAATTGTGTACTGAACTAGGGATTTAGTGGCTTGTATGTTCTCATGTTTCACTTGACATGGAATTATATATATTTAGACAGGAGTTGTTGTTGTTTGAACCAATGTTTGCTTCCTGAAATCGCCCTATAACATAGTTTATTAATATGTTAAAAAAATCCCAATGAAACACATCTGTTCTAGTGTTGTCTCCAAACCCTTGTCTCTTCAAACTTTTAAAACTGTCATAGATTATTGAAAACACTACTGCATTTGAAATTAGTTCAATAAAACAGTAGTTACAGATGCTCCATTAAGGTTTAAAAACAAATTTGTCAGCCAAATAAAATGGGTTGTAAATTTCTGGACACCACTTCAATGTTGTAGAAATAAGAAGTAAGTTTTCCAGCAATAAGGAAAGTGAGGATCCCTGCTTGCTGACATATAAAATGAATAAATTGAAAAAATTTCTATGTCTGTCTGCTAATCAGTGATGTGTATATATAACTGGATGCTGGTATTACAGTATGGTTGTTGGTGAATATCTAGGAGGTGATGAAAGATAATCTGCAGTAATAGAATTGAAACATCTCAAGGGAGTGTATCAACCAGGTACATTCTTGTTGTTACTTTTTTCTCATTTCTATAAAAGCCGCCCCCCCCATAATCTAGAAAGTATAGACGAATGCTCCCTAGTTTAATTGATGGCTCAGTCTGGCATAAGTGATTCCACATGGTGGTTGACAAATGACTCTTGCACTAATCTCTCCTCTTATTCAAAAACTCTAACAGAACTTTCTCTTTCCTCACTAGAACTATCTTTTGGGCATTAATTTATCTATCCTAGGTGAAATTTTAATTATTTCATAAATGGATGAAGCATTCTATCCCTGATTTTAAGAGAAAGTGTAATATTGGAAGTAGAATTTTCTTACATTTTCACTCACAGAGTTGATGGATGGTTGAAGGAAAACAGTATCCTAAATGTTTTGAAGGTGTCTTTGCTTAGCTCCGATTAAATGGTGATTTTCTATGTAACTATACTAGTATCTCTTTACACAAGAAAATAGTTCCTTTAAATGAAAATATCAATTTGGAGAAGCTCAAGGGATTTAATAGAGAGACTTGGAATATGGCAGTGTAATGTATATACTCAGAACATCAGAAATCCACCACTAGAAAATGGTTCATTATACTCATTCATCACATTCTACTTTTGCTCATGTGGAACAGATATACAACTAAGTGTAAGTTAAACATTGTTTTGTTCAGATAAAAAATTACCAAATGCCAGCCTATTGCTGTCAGTTCACAGGATGTACTCTACTATAATATTTGTGTTATAGATATTTATGATTTGTTGTTCCCAAAACTCAAGGGCAGAAATAAGTTGAGTGCAAGCAACGCCAATATCTTTCATGCATAGAACACATTTTATCTAAATGTTGCAGCGCACTTTATATTTTCCTGATAAATTTTATTTTACTTTATCAAGAATCAAACAAAGATAATTGAGAGGGAACAAAGTTAAAAGTTTCTTCATTCTATTGGGTAGGCTAGATTGGGGAAATTTCTTGTGTAGCATTCTTGGAAAATTCATTTTGGGATTCATTGACTGTGATCCTTGGGTGAGTTGAGTTAATACTCATACATATCACTAAAGCCAAGTGGTGGGATGATATACTGATCCTAGTCATTCCTATGAATGGCCTAGTCCTTCTGGCTAAGTTTCTCAGTGCTGGAGAAGACATCATACACATTCTTTGGAAGTTGAGTCCAAACCCAAACTCTGCTACGTCTTCCTCCGCCTCTGTGTGGTCCTGAATGACCCATTTTAGCTAAAGGAGCTCTGGGAAAATTTGATTTGGCTACATCCAGTTAAAGGGCTACTTCTGGGTGGTCCTTTGTAGTTAACAAAGTTTAGTTTTGGGGTTATAATAAGATCAGAGAAGTTTAAGAAGCTGGACTGGAACAAAATTCTAAGCATTTCAGTATAATAAATTTAAAGGAGTGTGATAGTCTTAGAAGCATGTAACATATTACATCAAACACACTTCACCCACTGCCAACCTTGTTAGCATCTTCTAAGACTCAACTAAAGACACTATGTTTTCAGATTGAGTAATAACTGGACAGTTTCTAGGCAGTTGATCAGATCTTTCTAGGAATTCCCTTATGACTAGGAATGCACAAAGACATTTATTTTAATCTACTTAAGGTTAATTTCTCTAAATGCTAATCCTTAGTTATATGTAAATTAATAGAGTTAAACTGAGATGAAGCTAAATATAAAAATAATTTCTATTTCACCATAGGAAAATGGTGTAGTATGGTAGAAAGAGTATGTGCTTTGGAGACAGATAACCCTGGTTCTCATACCCATTCTGTCATTAACTCATTAACTGGCAGAGAATCTTACCTTCTCCCTGAATCAGGTTCTTTATATAGAAGCAAGATCAATATTATCTACCTTGTCCTTGGCAAACAGGGGAAGTTTTTCATTTTAGCTAGAGGGTATTTACACCACAGGACTGGATTAAAAAAAGCAACTCAGCATTCAAAAAAGATAAACACATGCAATTTGCAGCAACATGGATGACGCTGGAAGGGATCATGCTCAGTGAAATAAGCCAAAAAGAAAAAGAAAAATACCGGATGGTCTCACTCATAGCAGGGATCTAGAAAACTTAAATAAGGGACCAGGAAAATGAATAACTATAAGAAAGTGAAAATCAAAATCAACAAAAACTATGAACCGGAGACACTTTTTGGGGGTGGGGGCGGGAGGGGAGGGATTGGGGTCAGAATGGGGGGATTGCAATTGTATGGGGAATATAAAAATAAAATTTATTAATTAAAAAAAAATAAAAAAAAATAAAAAATTCTTGAGCTGTGTTCTCATGATCTGTAAAAAAAAAAAAAAAAAAAAAGCAATGGGATCATACAAAATGATTGAGTCAGGCACATTAAGAGAAAAGAGAATCTCAAAAGGGATAGCCAGTGAGGTAGGTGGAAGATTGAAAAATGTCAAATATCTGGAAACCAAGAGAAAAGAATGTTTCAATAATGAACTGCTGGTGAATGCCAAGCAAGAAGAGGAAAGAAGAGCAGATTTGGTAATATGGTGATTACAAGTGACCTTAATAAAAAGAGATTTTTGTGAGCAATCAAGGAAAAAAAAATCCAAAACTACAATGTAGTAAGTTGAAGAGTAGATGGCAGCAAATAAGATCATTGCAGCTTTATGACTGGAAGTTGAAAGTGATCAGTAATTTGAAGAGACCATAAGGAGTATAAAAGGGTTGTTTATGATTTAACAAAGTAAAGTTACTATGGGAGTACAGTAGGTTTTCCAGGCAGTGTTGAGAACCTATAGGAAAACTTTAGTATAAATTTGAAGTGATTTTATTCTCCCTAATTGATGATTACTTGCAATTACATTTAGCTTCTCAGGTGCTGCATGAAAAAAGAATCTTAAAATGGTTTCAATGAGTGTGTGTTTCCTTCCAGGGGAGATACTGGAAAACAAGATGGGAAGCAAGTTAATATAATTAAAAGGGAATTATTTCAATTAGGAACTTGTACAAGAAAGCTAGGTAAAGAGGGTACAGGAAACAGAAGCAGATTAAAAAAAAACTGAAAGTTGTCAGTATTTTAGAAATTTCATTGCTTTTGAAGAATTCTTACAAAATGATTACTTGAGAGTGTGAATTGAAAGCACACCAGGAAGCAGTCAGAAAAGATTGATTGGTTTAAGATTTCAGGTATGGGTTGAGTGCTGGGTTGCGAAGCTGCCCGCAGCCTCTACAGCGCCGGTTCGATCCCTGGCTGCTCCCCGGCTGCTCCCCGGCCACCAGAGGAGGGTCCCGCATTATTGGCAGACCTCTCCTGCCGCCCGCTGCTCCCTCACCCTCCTGCACTTCTGACTGTACCCAGTGCTTGTATAAATAAATAAATAAATAAATAAATAAATAAATAAATAAATAAATAAATCTTTTAGAAAAAAAAAAGATTTCAAGTATGATGAGTTACTGCTGATGCAATATCAGTATTGAATAGGAAGGGTTGAAAGAACAAGTGATTGGAGGTGAGGATGGTAAGGACCTGACAAGCAAATTTAGACATGATAGGGTCAGTCTTCTCTTGGTTCGTAGTGGAAGAAGAATAGTCAGCTTCAAGGCATCATTTTGATACCTATATTTGTATATACTATATACTTACACTTAACCTACAAGTATTCTCAATTATCCCTCATCTTTTACTTTCAAAAAGAGAAAAACAAATATTTGGGGGATGTTTTTGTGCATGGATTTTTGCAATGTTGATCTATAGAGTGGATGAAATGCAGGCCCCAGAGCATGGGGTAACTCCTTATTTCATATAGCTAATCCTAGAAACCCGCATTTTAAACAGTGTTATAATGAGAAATAATTGGATTAAATTACTGTTGAAAGCTAAGAAACATAATTGGGTAAATAAAATCATTATTGATGGAGGTGCCATAAAAGGAATACATCCTAATATGTGGATGATTTTTCATACATGAAAAAATATTTATATCCCTTAAAAATATAATTTCTTAGCACTCTGTTTCCTTTAGCTCCATACATAAGAACTCAATGATCCTGCGATGAACTAGATGAACTAGGTGTGTATACTGGCTTGGTTATTTCTTTATGACTGAATCTCAGTTTATTCTTTGTTTCCATATATTTACACGCTGCTTTGTGTGTGAAGGATTGTGGAGAAGAAAAGATGCAATTAATTTCACTCCAACTGATTATTTACTAATTTCTTTTTTAAAGCCACAGCTGGTTGTTTGGTTTATTGGACTATTTAATCCATGTACTTATTGAAATATGAATTGATTAATGTTCCCTGTCTAAACTTAGCCT